AAAAAAAAAAAGGCAAAGAGCTGCTCGCCTCGAATACGCTCCTGGACACTTGGAGGCAGAAGCGCCTCACATTTCTAAAGCACCACGTGAAGCAGAAGAATAACGCACGTCGAAAGGAATGCCGGGAAAAGTACTGTATTTGTGAATGAGTCCCATTAGCCTCGCCTAACCGCTACTCGAGCACCATTTTCTGTTTACATTAAGAAACATAATTACAGAAATGGCGGGAAGCGCTGGGGAATGGTGTCTTATGGAAAGCGACCCTGGAGTTTTCACAGAGCTGATAAAGGGCTTTGGTGAGCACTCTATATTACATACATTAGCGGTGCGTGTGAGTGCGCTAGTTTTGCTTCATTTCAGTGATTTAGAATTTCAGTATGATTTGTAGTTTATATTGGGTTTGAGCACCAGCCTGCAATGTGGTGTAAATCCATATAATTGGCTGAATTCATTGAATGGGCTCTGCGCATGTTAATGAATGCAGAATGACAGCTGCCTCACATTTCTGCTGTTCTGAACCTGTGTAACGTATAAATGTCATTGAACGTGGCTCAAAAAGTAGTGAGCAGCCTACCTTTTTTTGGGCATCATGTGTGTTCCGAATCATATTTGGGCATCGGAGCAAGCATCGATTTGTATTCATTATTGGTGCCTTTGAACAAAGTTCGTTTAATTATTGCTGCTTCTGAATGTTTGATTCAGTAATTTGGAGGTTATACCCCCCAAAATACTGAATCAAACATTCAGAAGCAACAACAATGACGATTAATCGATTGCATTAATCATAATTTAGATTAATTATAAGTTATGATGCATTCCGAAAACAAGATAGAGTGTGTGTTGTATCACTTATGTTCTAAGCATTTGATTCAGTATATTTAGGCTTTTATTTGCACGTTCAAAACAATCGATTTATATTTCTGTCAGCATTGGTGGTTCCTTACTAACGATCATTGACCACAGTACAGGTGCATCTCAATAAATTAGAATGTCGTGGAAAAGT